GTTGGCTTGTTAGCTCAATTGGTAGAGCGCTGCACTAGTATCGCAGAGGTCAGTGGTTCAAGTCTCGTACAGGCCTGATTTTTTTCAGGTCTGATTTTCGCTATTGCATAATTAGTGCTGTCTACTGCGAGGATCATGCATCATACGTAAATGAGTTCAGTTTTGTGTATAATTTATTAATTTTAAAATATATCTGATTGGTATACTGAACAGCTCAGAGGTACACAGCCAATGCACATGTGCAAAAAAAGTGCACATCAAAAATTAATGAGTACATAATTTGCTCTTGTTATTCAACACAGTCAGCTTGCTTTGTCCTGTGCTGTTTTGGAAAGCAAAAGTTTCTTGTTTCAAAATGCCTCTGCCAAAGTATCAAATCAGCATTAATTTGGCATGTATCAACATCTTAAGGAAGCAAAAAATATATCTTATTGGTATACATGTACATGTACATACAGTTACAAGTGAGCTTAAATTATTCTTATGTGAGCATTAAACCTAAAAGTGCAAAGCGTTATTGTACTGTGAATACTTACGTGTAAAGCAAAAAAATTGATATTTTGCATTATCTGGCCTTCTTTTCAGGCTAATCAGGGTACATTTTACTTTAAAAGTAATCATAGACTAAATGATAAGTCACCTTCAGTTAAAGTAAATCTGAATTTGTTTGATTTTGTGACATGAATAGTTGTTCATGCAAAAGATTGAGCTCTTGGAAAGTTTTTAATGGGAATATTTGCAGAGATTTGATCCCCTCTTGGTGTCTGGGGTAACTTCAGTACTTTTCTGCCCTTATGCTTCTCCCCATTTGCTTTGGGACTATTATTCTTGTGTCAGGTGCCAGACTTTGACATAAGCCCTTTATTTAATTTAGAATTGTGCAAGTTTAACTCAGAATCTTAACTTCTTGTTATCTTCAGAGGGGGAAGCATTTTGGCCAATGCTCCAGTGTTTTGTTGTCTTGCTAGAGAGACTTGGAGAGAGAATCTGGCAGATTTCTGTGTTCACACGTAACCCTGACCAACTCTTTGGGATTATAACGAAAAACTGTTTCTTTAAAGAGGCTATCTTGCAGTGGCAAACCCAAGATGGTGGAGTGATTTTTAAGCAAAAAGACATCAGGCAGTCAAATAAAGCCAGGTCTTTGAGTGGTGCAAAATCTTCCAGTGGATTTTATAACACAGCTTTGGCATGGTTTCAACCTTTTGTGCTTTCTCTTCTGGACTTTGATTTTGGTGAACATTATGTCTCACTGGTAATTAGATATCTTCACAATGTTGCAGGTAGGGAGAGTTATAAATGCAGGAGAAACAACACAACTTTAAGCGTTTACACTGTTACAGTTGTACCCATATTTAAATTCTCCCCACTGTTGTCTTTACATTTGCTATGTTCCTGGCCAGGAGAGTTTACTTGACAGTCTGAAGCATCATAGTTCAATGAACATTTCCTCTATTCTTGTGACCTTTAGAGAAGCCAATTGCTTGTAGGGATCGAAGGGTTGCAGAAGTGTATAAAGTGCATTTCAATAGAGTTCACATGTATTTGAAGTTCAACCCCATGAGGGATAAGTATGTTTTTTTTTTCTTTTTTTGCTAGCTTTGGAATTGTGTTTCTTTGCGAGTGGGTTTTAGATCTAAAACAAGGAAACCTATTGCATGGTCATGATACAAGATTTTTAATTGATAATTTTGGGAAATTGATGATTTTCCCCTTGCAATCTTTGTGAAAAGAAGCTAGTTTAGACTTAACATTTTTTTGTAACCTCTGGTAGACAACACTTTTGACTGGTATACAATTCTTATGTTGTTGATTCAGAGAATTTGGTATTGAATTAACTAATAATCCCCTTATTGTATTTGCCAAATGCAAATATGGCATCCAATTTGAATTGCCATTGTTCTGGACTCACTAGCCTCATCTTCACATGCAAACACAAAAGGATTATTACCTGTGTGAGAGGCTAGTGAGTCCAGAACAGTGGCAACTCAAATTAGACACCATATTTGGATTTGGTGTATAATTATTAAAGATACTGACATCTGAGCGGTTGTGAAAATATAAATTATTTAAATAACCGTACATCAATTAAATTCATTGCAGATAAGTGTTTAACTCAAAACACTTTCAAGTCAGATGTCCAGTCTACATTGTTAGGCATAATTCATGAATTGGTAAATAGAAATTTTTCCACTTGCCTGGCTCATACAGCTGACCTTTGGGCAAAAGACATGGTAGATTTTGTCATAGCTGAAACAGGGGACAAGAAGGTAAAATTTGTCTTTACCATAATTTATTTCATGGAGAAACTTACTTTCAGGAAATGTTTTTACTAGTGACTGATGTTTTGTTACAAGCATAATATATACAGTTATGATTCTATCAGCTTACACATGTAGTCTTGTTCCAAGGAGCTTTCCCATTAATTCCTTTGTCGAAGTAAAGACAAATAAATGAGTCAGAGCTTTTTCTTTAACTGATTTCTCAAAGTGTTATGAAACAAAACAATGAAACTACCAGTAAATTAATGTGGATTGTTAATTTTGAGGTATCTCAGTTTTGACATTTTGAGATTTAGCATTAGTCAATATTTCAGACCACATGGCTGTGGGAAGTAGCCTTTCTGTATAGGGTTAGTGTGGTTTATTCTCCAGTGATGCATGGTGATATCTAGTATCTTCCACTGAATTTCAAAACATTGACATAATACTACATGTTCTGTATTTCCTGCTATTGTATAATTATGGTTACTTAAGAGGCCTTTCATACCCACGGTCGTTTTGTGCCCAATCATTTCATACCCTGCTACAGGAGGTCAATGCATTTCCAGTCAGTTGAGTCGTTTTGTACCCATACTGTTATGTTTTCCATGTTAAGTATGTTTAAACCAGTGTTGGTTTCCTATTTTACATATCCGTGTTACTAATGTTAAATTAGTGTTGTTTTTGTGGCATCTACTTTTGATAAACAACCACCGAATGCAAGGCCTGGAACTGAAAATACAGGATGTGGGAGTTAAAAATCACCTTGCTATCTCTGGTGTTCTCTGTGTCAAGAGTGACAATGTTAGGTCTTGTTTAAGAACATAACATTATGATCAAAGCCCTGGCTTGAATCCGAGACATTTGTGTTCAAAGTCATTTTTTAATGTGCACATTTGCTTTTAGAAGGTTGATGTTACCAGAAGACTGCTTCAGCTCCTGCTTAAGGCTTGTCATCGAGGGGGATCCAAACATGCCCTCAAGTACTGGGGAGTGTTTGCATTGCCAGGACCCAAGCAGCTATCTGCAGAGGAAAAGCAGCAAATAATTTCACTTATCGAGGTACTGTTTTTGCCTTGACAATCAAACCTCCATTTTTCAGTCTTTGAGTGCCTCCTATATGTATTTGGAGCTGACAATTGGAAGGTCTTTTTATGGTTGTGTTTAATTTTTTAAGTTTATCAGAATAATGGATGAAATGTAGAAATTGACTGGTTTGACAAGCCACTTATACACCCTAGGATTTATTTACTCGGTTTAATTTATTTAGATAAAGTTGTGCTAATTTGACTACCAATTGTTTTTACTCCTTTCTTACGATATTAAAGTTGATGTCTATGCGATTATTATCAACTTAAATTTATGTAGGTGATCGTCAGTTTTCAGTATTTATTGCTTTCTCTAGGTGATTATAGAGATGTGCATGCTTTGATTGGTTTAGGATTGTGTTTTCTCTTGCTAAAGTCACCCTCAATCAAGGTGGTAGGGACTATTCGCCAATTTTCACTTCAGAAAATAATTGATAATTAACGCGCTGTGATGAGTCCTATGGCAGTTTGTTGCAGTCTGCACAGTCGGTTGAGATTAACTAACTAATGACACTGTAGTCCACATCCTATTATTCATAATATTCCTCCAACTGAAATAAATTACCAGCAAAGTTTCAGCTCAGGACAGTGGATCCTCCCTCCAAGAGACGCAAACACTTTGATTTCAATCGAAATAATGTTCCTATAACCTTTGTAGACCTGTATCTATTTCCCTCATAAAGTGACACCTCTTTTCTAGATTACGAGCAGCCCCTCCTTTTCGGTGAAGTTCGTAGTGCGAGTCAAAACAAAAAAAAAGTGAAAAAAAAATTACTGTTAGCGCGCCGCGGGAAACTCCTGGAGTGATGCCGATGCGCCGCAGGATTTCCATGATTGAGGCGCTCGAAAAAAGTAGACCAACTTTTCGAGTACCTCACCCATGCGCTGACACTAATTTTTTTCGCTATTTTTTTTTTTTTTTTTTTTTTCACTTACGCGACGGACTGCTCCGAAAAGGAGGGATGACTCGTAGTCTACCTCATTTCAGGGAACATAATTTTAAGTCCAGTGGTTATCCCTTGAACGTAGGTTCCCCAGCATGCGCCAATTGACAGTTGCAGTTTATCTCTTAACTCTTAAATCCTAACATCAGTATACATATTCTCCATTCTGTTCTCTATACATTTCCTTTGGTATTGACTAGGAGAATTCAGGTAACAATCAAGGCTTCTTGGGTTGGTGATTATTTCCTTTATTCTCATGATCTTAATGAATGACTCAGCAGCATTACAGTAAGGAGAAATTAGACGCTGATCACTCCTAGGGGCCAAAGGATTGACGTTGAGTCTTTATTAAGTTGGGATTCAGTAGTTTTGTTTTTTTTAATTGGAGTATGTGGAAATTATTGGTTTCACTTGCACACCCAAGTAGCATTCATGTCATGAAATCGCACCGAAGCCTTTGCATAAAAATCAGATTTGACTTAACGACTGTTTCGTATTCTTCCCTAGGCTCGTCCTTCCTTTAAAAACTCCGTGGATAACGCAGCTATCAAAAAAATTCCTAATGGTAGCCTCTCCACCCAGGGTGTTACCCGTATAAAGGAAGAGAAAGGCCTACAGTCACCCGAGGAGTTTGATTCTAATGTATTAACGGCAAGAAAAAGCAGCGACGAGAGAAGTTTTCGATCAACGGTGAAGTGTAGTCCGAGTTCAAGTGTGAGCAGTTCTGAAGGTGAACAGGGTGTTATCCGCAGAGAGAAAGAGAATGCCCCACAGTCACACGAACGGATTTATCGTAATGGGTTAACAAAAAGAAAAAGGAATGACTCAACAAAGAAGATAAGTTTTCGATCAAGAGTGAAACCTGGCCCTAGTTCACGTGTGAGCAGTTCTGAAGATGAAGAAGAGGAAGAGGAAGAGGAAAAGATTGCTAGCAGGGACCCAATGAAGAGGCGCAAAAAGCCTCAACATCGTTCATGGAATATCAAAGTGTAAGAGATCTTCCTTGTAAATTACTTCATTTATATGTCTTGTTTTACCTTAGGTCGAGGGCTGGGTCATTGTAACTACTGTATACACGACTAAGTGTGGTTAATATGTATGTATGTATGTTGCTTTCAAGGGGAAGCCCTTTGTCAGTGTTTAAAAAAATGATTCTGAAATGTATTGTTTGCTCCTTATTCTCACAATTATCAAAACAGTTCTTAATCAGTGGTTCCGTTTGTTTAAATAAAGAAAAAAGATACTATTCTTTTTATTAATCGCAACAACCAATATTAGGACCAGGGAACGCGAAGAAGCAAATTGAGAATTCAAAGTATAACAAGCAAACCGCCTGAACCACGGGAATATGCCAATGTTAGTGACGTAGTCGCGAATGCATTTCGATTGATTGAGAAAGTGGCTCGAGCTTTCTAGTCGAATCATTATAAGAAGAAAAGTAAAACCAGTACAATGGTGCATCAGTGTCAACAGTCCACTCAAAGGTGGCTTTAGACATGCATAAAAATATATCATAAGAAAGTGCAAACAAAGAAAGAAACAAAAAGTGTGATGTGGGCCATTGGCTGTTACCTAGCCTTTGAAAGACTATGTACTATTGATATTTCAGGTCTAAAATGTCTTCAGAGTTGGATTTTGGACTTATGACAGCCAAAATTCCTTTAGTAGACTACAAGGGCCTTGTAAAAGCTGAAAAAAGCGTGATGTGGGCCATTGGCTGGTACCTAGCCTTTGAAAGACTATGTACTATTGATATTTCAGGTCTAAAATGTCTTCAGAGTTGGATTTTGGACTTATGACAGCCAAAATTCCTTTAGTAGACTGCAAGGGCCTTGTAAAAGCTGAAAAAAGCGTCCAGCATGCGGCTCTTCAAACAACTGCCACACCCATGGTGCAGCAAAGAAACAGAGTTAGGAAATCAGCAGGCAGGATGGAGAAAGTTTCTCAGGCTCCCATCCTTAAGAAGTCTGGTACGTTGGTACATCCATAGGTTTCAAGAGTCAAGGGTTAACACTACTTTTCTTTGAAGGTGTATGAAAAGTATTTTTCGTGTGTGAAATTGATTTTTTTGCGGTGCATGTTTGACTATTCAGCTCCCCTTTTGAATTTTCTCTATGCAATTTTTTTTTTGTCAGAATCATCCGTATGGCCTCCGTTTCAAAGCTACATGAAATTATCACCTGGCGCTAATTGTAGAATTTAATTCATTCGTCACGGGAATGGTAGGAAAAAGGAACAGGACTTTCGTCCCAATTGACACCTAACCCCTTTGTACCCACCATGCCACCCCAGGGGAGGACATCCATCACACAGTAACCTTGTGCGTGGGAAATTAATGTCTCCTGCCCCCAAACCTGCAGGAGACGGGACCTCCATTCATTCGTCCCTATCTGAGAAGACTAGAATATCTAAACCATTTCTTGATGTTATAGAAAGGTAGCAAATTCTTCTCAATTTTTGTAAGACCTTGAGTGTTGGTCCGGCCGTGGCTCGAACCCTCGACCTCCAGCACAACAGTCCAGCGCACTATCCATTGGGCTAACTGGGCGGCGGCGAACTTGTGGCCTTTAATCCATCCCTCCTAACAAAAAAAAACTGAGAGTGAACCATAATGTTGAGCCAGACTGGGATTGAACTACCCCTACACCATATAGATTGTACCCTCTTAGTATAACATTCCACATTAAATTACTAGCAAAAAGAATATATTTTTGTGTGTCACTAGCGGGGCTAGTCTTAATCGGTAGCGATGAAATTGAAAAGGAGTATGGAGAATAGAATAGTGAAAAGTTAGTAGAAAGCTGGACATGTGAAATATCTTTACCATGAACCTACGTTGAGTAGATTATTTTCTCCCAAAATGTTTTCGATGGAAGGGGGGGGGTCTCCTATATTTTACCAAGATAAATCATAGTTGAATTTGGTAGGTTTTAATTCTTAGTCTATACAGTTTTACGAGGTTATTCTTCACGCAAGTACCTTACACGCGATTTGATTTGCTTTTTTGATCAAGGTATGAGGAAAGAAGACGCAATTCTTATGTCAGATGACGAAGAATCCTCACTGGATACATCCGATCAAACGAAGCCCGTTTCTTCTAGAAACGAGGATCCTGGATTTTTAGACGATGACTTGACCTACGAGAGCCTTCAAGACGACGACATTGCCCTCAACAAGCTCATGGATGAAGTAGATCCATCGCCAACTTCAGGAACGGCTCAATCGAAAAACTCGTTATCGAAGCCAGCTGTTTGTAGCGATAGCGAGATGGATACTTCAGATGAAGAGCTTCATCACTCTGTTTTCGAAAGCCATTACAAAGGTAAAGCTAAGGTGAAAAATGAAGACAGAGAGATGGATGGTGAAGGTCCCTCTTGTGATAAGACCGTCCCTGGCGAAAGCATTGATAAGATTAAGAGGAAAACTACAACTGAAAGGGATGTTTTTTCATTCCAGAGCGTAAGATCTGAGGCGCCTCTTAGCGCTTCTAATTCGTCACGGATTCGAACAAAGTATACCACTATAACAGCAAAAACGGAACCTGCTGATTCCGGAGATGACCTAGATGATGAGCCCCTTGCATCATATTTGCCGGGCAGCTTCTTTAAGACATCAGTTCAGGATATAACACATGCTATTGTTGCTGATGGGAAGGTGAAGACTGAAGTGGACCGCATTTCGGATGATGAAGCCATAAATATGGAGTTTGCAAGCCCGGAAGTATGTCAGGTAAAGCAAGAAGGAGAAGAAGTAGAAGAAGTTTGTAACACTTCATCAGTTGTCCATGCAACTGACACTGCATGTGATGATCGTTCAGATTCGGAGCAAGACGCCCAACCACTCCTTTCGACAGTCAAACCTGAACCTTTGGAAGAAAAGACACATTCCCTCTCTATCATTAGTAAACAGCTTAAAAATGAGATTCATTTCGACGATGATATGAACTGTTGGGATAACTACGGTGATTACAGTGAACTTGTGCTGAATTCTCAAGATAATGCCCTCGCAAGCGTAGAAGAAGATCTCGTAGATGTATACGGCACACAAACCGAAAATCAGACGGAAGATGACCTTCCGTTGTCAAGTGAAGATGTCAATATTGGGGATATCCAGGAGGACGAGACTTTGCAAGGTGCAGACTTAAATGGCAACTTCGCAACAGATGGAGAGGTCAAAAGTGTAAAACCTAAGAAACAAGTAACATTTGCACCTTGCGTAGGTTCATCTCATGCAGTCGCAAACTCGTCTGCTGGAGTTGCAAGTTCTAATAAGCTAGCGTCTTATCAGCCGGTTATAACAAAGCCCACGAGACACCTTTCAGAAGACGACTTTTTCCGCGAGATCCTAAACTGGAGGGTGTATCACTTTTTAAAATCATCGAGCAATGGAAGATTCACCACTTTACCGCGAAATTATGCGGCAGATCGTGTTCCGGAAAGCTTCAACTCGATGGACGAGTATTACAAAATATTCAAGCCTCTGCTGTTCATGGAAATTTGGCAACAGGTACCTGAGCGAAGTCATATTATGAATGCTGTGCAGTCGTCTAGACTTAGGGGAGGGGGAGAAGGGTGAAGGGCGAATATTCATGAAAAACAATCTGCTCCCGTCCCATAATAAAAGCATCTTGATAATTTTGTTCCTCGTTCTCAACTGCTTTCCTGACTTTCCAGCTCTTTGGCTTGCACGTCGTAGATATAGCTTTTTCGTAATCTAATGTTGGTACTACATTACTGAACATTGTTTTAAAATATTTGAATGCTAATGTTTTCCTAACTAAAGTCCTGTCGTTTTTTAGTGCAAACTCAGGATATTACTGGTTTTTTTATTCACTTTCTGGACTGCATGTAATGGTGATGTGTTTGTGATGTTGACCTCGATCGAACTACAACTAGCTCTCAAATGTTCATTTTTAGGCTCTTAGTTCCTGGGGTGACAAGGAAGTGAACAAGAAGTGTGTTACCATGAATGTCCTCGATGGAAGTAACGCCAATAGTTTCTGGATCATTCCTTGCAGAGGTGTTATCAACGAACAGCAACAAAAATCGGCACTGTTCCCGAGGGAAAGTGATTTAGTTCTTGTGACGCGCTCTGCAACTGACGGAAGAGGTGAGGAAGACACGTCTGATGTGTTTAAATTCTCTCCTTAGCTCCAGTATTTATTTATCATTATCAGACCTCGGTACGAAATATGGAATATGTTTTTGTTCGATCATGAGATGGCGATAGAGTTCTCTGTTGCTCAGTTAAAGCTGCGTGGAATACTGAGGAATGTCTGCGGCTACATTTTACGAGGGAGACCGAGACTTTTTCATTGATCTTCGCTCGCGAGAAGATTTATTAAAATAATGTTTTTCAGCTAAGATAATGGCCAGCATTACTGGAACGTATGTAATTTCCATAGCATTGAGCGTACCAGGCTCATTGAAAGTTACTCTTCAACATGTCATTAGGTTTCCCTGACAGTCTTATAGAAACCGCGTACACTCTTTGGTAATTTTGAGAACTGTGAGATTAAAGTGCCTTAACGCAACCTCCATGACCAAGCCAGGATTCGATTTGAAGACCAGTGCGCTACTCGTTCACCCACAATTTAATGAATTACCATACTCAAAAACAAAAACTCAAGCCAGAGAAAACATTGAGCCACATCACACTAACTAAAGTGTATTTGAATTTTTGCGATTACCGTAATAACCTGCTTACGGTTCCTCTAAGTAACTGTAGTAACGATTCATGGGATTACTATTGTGCGTTTGTATTTGATAGCACATGAAAGTGTCTTCTGCTAAAAGAAAGTTGACATTGAAAGTCCAATGAAAGTTTGCCATAAGAGCTACCTTATAATTGAAAATTTGAGAATGTCAAATCAAGTCATGTTAAATCCCTATGATTTTAGTGAGGATAGTCGATGTTGGCTGTTAGAGGTACTTTAAATTTGAAAACTTGAAAAATGTATCATCGAGTCATCAAAAAACTCCATATTCTTGGCTCTTATAGTGGCTGTATTTTACTTCGCTTTTTTTGCCTTTTTTTTTCAGGGGGGAGTGATAATAATTCAGCAGTTTTTGGATTGGTGGAGAAGTCAGATTTTCAAAGAACTAAACAGTCGCGAAGAGAAAGTCTGGGAACTAGTGGTGGAGAGGAAGGTTTGGTTTCGTTCCCGTAAAATATTATATTGACAGGATGTTTACTCTTTAAACCTCAGTGATTTGTATGAGTCGGGATGTTGTTGTTTGAGGAGGCGAACAGACCGACTTCGCATCGTTTGTACTTTGTTAAACTTTTCCCTAACCGCCCCCCGTTTAGCTCAATTGGTTAGAGCGCCGGATTGTGTTGTGCGGGAGGTCGGGGGTTCGAGCCCAGGCCGGACCAATACTCATGGTCTTGAAATAACTGAGGAGAACTTGCTACCTTTCTATAATATCAAGAAATGGATAGATATTCTAGTCTTCTCGGATAAGGACGAATAAAGGGTAGGCCCCGTCTCCTGCAGGGTTAGGGGTAGGAGACGTTTAAATTCATCACCAATAGATGGGCTTGGGAACTGGTGCCTTAAAGATCGGACGGGAGCCTGAACGCTTCAGGCATAACAAGGAGGTATCCATGGCAACCCTGCGAGCGGGAACCACCCTTGCATGCAGCCGCCAACTGGCACCGTCACACTGAAAGAATTCAGTGGAATATACTCACCTGACCTCATACTTACCGGTGCACAGAAAGGGGGGGGACGGGCTGAGAGCCAGAATCCGCAAAGATCAGTCCAAAATGCCAGCATGAGATGCAACGTAAGTCGCACGATAAGCTGAGGCCCCTGCGGTCACCCCCGCAGATCACGTACGCTTAGGGAGGAGACCGCTGACCGCATTCGCTCGAAATTTAACCTTGCCTAAATCACATTTAGCCACATTGAACACGAAGGCGCGCTATAAAAGGAGCCTTAGGTCCCACTGGACCATTTGCCAATCAACCGTCGTGTGATGTAGAACTCTTAGAGTCAGGTCAGCTTGAGCTTCAGCTACTTCAAAGCAGTGAATAGCGGGCGCATTCCTCAAAATTGTTTTATGTCTTCATCACTTACAAGAATTTTTGAGATTTGAGATCGAATTAGGTGGTTCGCACGTTACCTCATTGCCACCATGCTGGTGGAAGTAAACAATAGATATCTCATTAGCTCCTTTTGTTCGTCTACCAGCATTCAAAATTGACCCGCATACGTCAACGGTGAGTGACAAATGAGCTTAGGTCTTCTCAGGGAAGACTTCCTTATATAGCGCGCCTTCGTGTTTAATTTCCCACGCACGAGATTACTGTATGGTGGATGTCCTCCCCTGGGGTGGGATGGGTGAGTTTACTGGGCCCGCAGTAATTGGCGCAAGCTGTTGTGGTACCCCTGCCTGTTGGCGAAAGTAATAAATTAAATTAAATTAGATTATTCAAGCTACTTGGTTCCTTCTTGGTCTGTTTTTAGCTCTTTCGTAGTTTTGTTAATACAGTCGAACCTTCCTTAAGCGACCACCGGAAATGTGAAGGGAGGTGGTCGTTACCAGAGGACAGGCCACAAGGAGTCCATATTTCGGGTAATTTGCTTATGGTAACCGGACCCTTTCACCAGCACTTATCGAAAGCTATAGTAATCACTTCTAGCGGCTTATTAATACTTCAGTTGACGTTCTTTGATGCCGCTTCGCCACACAACTTTTCTGTTTAATGCAAGATTGATACAGTGTACATGTCTAGTATTCACAAGATGCGCGAATTTTTTCCTACAAGTGATTAAATCTGCATTTGTATTTTGTCAAGTCTTCCAATGCTTTATTCACGTGGTAAAGCTACTTCGAGAAACACTTGCAGTAGCTCCTTTTTTTCCACATTTGTTAAAACAATTTAGAGTTTCTGCTCATGAGAGATAAAGCCGTTTGTTTGTCAAGTGGTCGCCTGCGAGAGGTTAAAAGCAGTGGAAAATTATAAACAGTGGTCACTTTCGAGAGGTTCCATTTATGATGATTTGACTTGGAAACTTTTGGTATTTTGAAAAAGTGGTTGGTAACGAGAGGTGGTCACAAGGGGAGGGTTGGACTGTATTGGCTTGACCTACGAACAGTTGTAACTCCTTCACTTCCAGGAGTGAAACCAAGCAAAAAGGTGATAGGAAATAAGAAAAGTTGTAATTTGGGAGTTTAATTTGAATTGACACCAAAGTCTCAAAACTAAAAAGATTTTCATCCGGGCTCAAATGGAATTTATTTCATACAAGTTGTTATGGTCGCATATAGTTTTCTCTGCAAAGCTCATTGCACTTCGTGTGACAATGTTTTAGTTTGCATAATTTATCTGTTTCCGTAACATTTAAAATTGTAAGCGCCTGTTTTTGTAGAAGCTGCTATGACGACGTTTGATCTTAACTTGACCATCAAAACGGCGTCAAACTTCCGCCCTGCGAGGAACTGTCGTCTTCAAGTACAGTTTGTGACTTCACTGCTGACAGCGCTAAGGCAGTGGTCTGCTTTAATGCAATTTAGCAAGAGCCTGTTGGCCAACGACATTCTTAGACCGCGGAAAGCAATATATTTCTGCTCTGAAGATTATCGTCCCTCACCACATGTCGCTCAGGTACTACAATGAACAAACCGGCGCGCAGCCGTCAACTATTTCCTTAGTTGTGCACGGGGAGAGGAATCTGCGAAATAGTATCCTTAGTCGTTTTCCAGTAATTCCCTGTTCTTTTAGTTAATTGTCGTCCCTTTAGATGACCTAACCCAAATTGTATCTCAGATTTCCCATACCTGGTTGGAAACGATGCAAATAGGATTTCGTGGTGCATACATCGTACCTCCTATTCCGCTAAATGCGAAAAAGACACCGAAAATTACACAGTTGCGTTCGAGAGCGCACGAAATATTTTCACACTGTGTTCATGGTCATTTTTTACCAAGCAAACTTGTGGGATACCGGAGCATGAGTAACAACGCGATGCGTGCAACATGAAAATAGGTAACGTCCGCGCGCACGCGAGTGGTAACTACTCTTGGATGTTAATGCCCATTTTTTATTGCGCATCCTTACTTACTGATGTGTAACACAATTAACAAGCATTTGCCACGCTTTGTAATGAGCAGTGATAGCCACTTCAATAACTGGTCTGAGAATATAGCAGTTGGATGCATGGTCACCCTAATTTTTTTATTTGTTTTGTTTTGTTTTTGGTACCGGTAGATCACTTTCTTTATGAATTGTTTCGTGCTGAAAAAAATATATAAACAAAGCTAGTTGGACAATCACTTTGCAACATTGCCCAACGATCTACTTTATCTGCATACGATAAAAAAGGCCAGGGCAAGGATTGGTATTATGTCAATCGTAGAGCGGCCTAATGCTTACCTTGCGTGTACTATTCATCCTTACAAGGAATACAATGAATCCCAAGAGAGAGTCATCTCAACTGCGGCTAATGCTGTTCACAATCCCTATCCTCTACCACGCATTTGTCTCGTTCAAGGCCCTCCGGGAACAGGAAAGTCCTACACGATCGTTGGCCTTGTGAAGGAGATACTTAATGTAAGTTTTTTTCCTAACGTCCGTTGTTCCCTACCACAACTTAATTCTTCTTAATTTATCATTGCCTTTTGCTTTGTGTGTGATCATAGGCCAAAATGAAAGTAACACTCGAATTTCGAATTGTGTTTTAAGGGTTACACTTCCCGCGTTACGTCCCTACACATAATACCTCTTCACCTTGTTTGTGCTGGACTGCGCCGCTCTAAATTTTTGAAATTCTACGAGCCACATGAGCTTTCTATGTTTTTTTTTTCATTTTTGTTTTGTTTTTTTTTTTTTTTCGTAGCGGGGTCAAGAAATGCCAGGACAGACCACAGCTACCTCATCGAATGGAAATGTTCGAAACAAAGTGAGAATTCTCTTATGTGCCCCTTCTAATGCTGCCATAGATGAGTTGATTGCTCGGTTGACAAAGGCTCAGATCCGACTTCAAAATCGTTCTGACAATAAGGAAAACAGGCGATGTAACCGTCAGGATGATGTCAAGAGAGGTTAGTAAAGTATGAAAGGTACTTCTGCCACAAAAGTAAGCATTCTGGAATAAATCATTAGTTCTTCGCTTGTTTGTTACGTCACGTTGAACATTTACCACAGCTGATTACGATCGAGGTGCTTGCTTTCGCATTTTTTTATGTCCGAAATTTGTGAACGGTAGTGGCACTAGTCCTGAGAAGGACTGTGTCGGAAACGGTGGTCGACGTCCCGATACCCATAGCGGAAGACAACACTTCATCCTAATGATGCCTTGCGTAAATTGTTGAAACAGTTGTTACCACTACCGGCAACAGTCGTTTTCAAGAGCACTCTCATCTGGACGATCCGATTATGCCATGAATCGCATCACTGAATAAAATCTTGCATTCTGATTAGTTAAAGATGCGGTCTTTAGCGTGGAATTGCGAGTTGAAAACGAGGCTAAGTGATATTGCTTCGCATCTACGTATACATAACAACTATAGATAATGCTGTTTTCTTTTTTTCTTGTTTTTATTCGATTATGCGATTCAAGGAAAATCCATTACTTGACTTGAGAATTCCGCGTTAAATTGCACTTGAAAACCGATATCGCACTCATCGCTTCGCGATCCGTGCGATATCGGTTTTCGCGTGCAGCTTAATGCGGAATTCCCTCGTCAAGTAATGAATTTTCCTACAAAATTTCACACCTGGGTTCAAACCAATTACTCTCTTAGCAATTGGATTTGTTGACATTCGAAGGCAAACCCATAAAAGAAGCATTTTAAGGAACAAAGCTTTACTCATCCGTTTTTATATCTAAAGTGTCATTCTTCTGTTGGTGGCAGTCTTTGAGGCATTTAACATAATTGTACTTTGTGAACAACTTATCAAGGCCTTTGACAATTATATTCATTTGCCCTTTTCAAGCGATCCCTAAAAACTGTGGGGATCTGTGTCTGGTACGAGTGGGCCGTAAGTCATATATCCACCCGGGCGTTCTGAAGTTCTCATTAGACAATATGACAAAGCTCGTAGTCGATCAGTCATCTTCAAAATCGGAGGACAGATTAAACAAAACCAAAGAAAGTCTTGCAATCATTGATGAAAGAGAGAAGAAACTGGAGCACAAGATAACGAAGTTGAAAAGTTCGCCTCGCACGTCTCACGAGGTACATATGTCAACCTAAAATTGAGGGTCTTTTGCTCTCGTTCTGTTTTTTTGTTTATTTTTACTTTCGTTGGTTCGTTGTTGTGGTTGTTGTTGTCGTGTTTGTAGTCTAGAAAGGTAAAAAGCTAAAACGTAGGTTACTTATGGACAATCCACTTTGCAAGATCATTTTTGAAGACAGTACCAACATTAGTTTAGAAGTGGTGGAAGTCATAAAGAGGTATTTAAACTTCAAAACTCATTACCTTTCTATTTAAATGATTTACGACCAGCAACTGGAGAAATTGGAAAAGGAGAAGTCAAACCTTATGGACACAATACGAACCCTGCAAAAGAAATATCGTGAAGAAAGGGCAGAGCAAGCTAACAAACGTAGAAAAGAATCAAGTATAAGAAAGGAGATCCTTCATCGTGCTGATATTATCTGTACAACTCTCAGCGGGGCTGGTAGCACAAGCTTAAAGCAGGACCTGGAAGGACGGTTAGAACTGATCTGCTTCAGCGGTCATGATGTTACTTGTTGGTTTTTATTTTTATATTTATTGTTTCTCTTCTTTGCAGGCGTATTTATCCCCATTTCACATGTGTTATTGTCGATGAGGTAAGATAACTTCAAGAGAGACAAGATTCACGTCCATGGATTAAGATTTTAACCTTGAATATTTCATTTCCAATATGATACTGAATATGGCGTTGCTGTATTTTTTCCCCTAAGCTTAAAATATTTTAGTTTTGAAACTTGTTTGTACTCTCTTAGAATGTTAGTCGCTGTTTTTATGTTTGAGCGATTTTCGACTGTGTGCCGTGATGTGGAAACCAAACAAATAAAAATTACCTAATACAACACGAGAGACTTTAAAAGGTGATGATGAGAACTCGAGGCAACAAAAAACTGAAACCGGAAACGCGCATGATAGAGTCAGGTTACTCCTAATCAATTGAGAGGATGGTACGAATTCTTTGCGCTTATCACGCGCGAAAGTTAAAACGGAACTAAAGCACGCTCGGCTAATGCTCCATTTAATCGTTTGCTCTAAAAACATACAGTAAAGTGTGTTATGTCTTATGTCACTTTGCACAGGCCTGTCAGTCCAATGAACTGGATTTGCTGATACCACTCTGCTTCCAGGCGTCTAAACTGGTTCTTGTCGGCGATCCTGAGCAGTTGCCCTGCACTGTACTGTCTGGGGTACGTTAAACATAAATTGGCAAATCCTTACCACTTTCTTTCTTTTTCTGCCGTCCTGTAGCAGATTTGTTCATTCAATGATCCCCTAGTTTTCCAGCTTTATTCTTCTTTATGGCTTTGCGATCCAAGTTGCTAGGCCATACCAACAAGCCTGCTTTTGTTGTATTTCCTGATTTAGATTTAGGCATTTCTGCCCCTTTCTCAGTGAATGATTCATCTCTGGCACATTTTTTTCTGAGTTGTGTCTGCCGTTTCCACCAAGCATACCATATCAATAATTTTGTATAAGGATGTTTAAAGAAAGTTTTAAAGTCAGACGAAAACGTGATATCCTTTCCTTATCTACTCATAACTTCTTAGAGAGCAAAGGAGAAATTATTTGCACGATCCATGTTTGAAAGACTCTACAGATTCTTCAGATATCACAAAGCAGGTAAGCTCACTCGCAAGCCTTTGTGTCATCTCAGCCTTACTCTATAACCTGTGATTTGTGTGAGGTCTCAAGTAAGAAGCAGCGAAAAAAAAGACATTTCGCATCGAAATTTTATAACCGATTGCTTTTGACTTTATAATAGGCCATTTCCGAATTACGTTTGGCCTCTTTTTCAAAACGAGGCCTGGTGCTCAACCATACATATGAAAATGAGTTTAATTTGCATGTGAATGAAAAGTTATTACCATACGAAAGAAGGAGCACCAGGACTCGCTTTGAAAAAGAGGCTAATGTCAATTCGGAATTGGGCTATTATTATCCTTCTCATTTACAATATCTGTGACCGTCCTATTCGTGGAATGTCGAGCCTTAATAGGCATTACTGAGCTTGAAAAGTAGACCCGACCATTCAAATTGATTATAACCTTATTGCTGCAGACCGTTCTGTAATTTTCCTATTCGGGGCTATATTGCTCTGAATAAAGTGTCAAGGTAATAAGTGGATAAGGTCTGAGGTCAAATTTGTAACACAAGGATGACAGGAGGAGCTTCTTTCAAGGTCTGTACCACATTTGTAACTCTGGGCCTAAACCGTCTGGAAATTGGCAAATGGAGACGGAGCAACTGTTTAACAAGTTCTGGTCAGTAAATCAAAGAGCATCACTATTAACCATCGGTTATAATTTTTGGAAGTTCCAAAAGTGTAATATATCATGAAGAGGAGCCGTTGTCAGTAGCGAAGTCTCACATCCTTCTGTGAGCCCTCATGAGTAGTTTGCGGTTAAATGGCCATGGGGTTTAAAACCTTTTCACGTATTGAAAAGTTCGTTCAGCATATGTGGGATTGATATAGGGTGACATCAAATGTCACATTATGGTACGAGTCGACGAGAGAGTCCAAAATAGAGGAAATTAAGCTTGAAAATGGAGCAAAGTAAAAAGCGCATGGGAAATTGTCTAATGATGGGAAACCTTAATTTCTTCTACGTTGACTAAAAGGAAACGTCTTTATACTGGTGGTGTTACCTGACAGGGTAACCCTTGTCATGATTGTACTAGTCAAGATGTAGAGCTCTCTGGGCAGTGTGCAACGGAAGATGTTTTTTGCGATAGATCCAGTGCCTTCGAAAGGTAGCGAGTGTTTCTCGGATGGTTTGAAACGCATTTGAAGAAGCTTGTAAACTCTGGAATGTGGGACTGTTGTTGAAATGTATGAGGATATTTCATTGCGCCTGGAAAGTTTCCACGAGCGTCAAGATTGATGGAGAATTTTCTCCATCACAGGGATACGCTGAAGCAAGGAGTGGACAACCGGGTCGTTCTACGAGTCGGGTGTTTTTAAACTTGTGCTTAGTTTAAAAGAGGTTGTAGATCATCGTGTTGATGCATAAGAAATAGGAAAAGATACGAAACTCTGCAAGGAAGCTACTGTTTAAGGAGTACAAAATAAAGGAAACGGGTCTAAAGTGCCTACATATGCAGACGAGGGAAGAGCGGCGAGAGGTGACTTTGGTGTTTGGAATCCAAACATTAACACGCTCATATGTTTGTTAATTTGGTGCATCAAGTTATGTGGAAATCGCTGCTCAATTCGTGTATGGAAGGTGAAAGGGGCTGGCAGGATATTTTGACAGAGGGAACGGGTGTACAGAGATAGTAGTCACAAGAGAAAGGGAGCAATGTGGAAGGATAAGGGAGACATGCTACTTAGGTTTGTTATATTGGTCTAAAAATCTCAAAAGTAGTGATCCAAGCGATAAAGCACGTTTTAAGTTACTAGTGGGCTGTATCGTTTTGAGGGTTTGGTAGAGTAACACTTAACAATTATACCAGGGCCGCCAAGCGGCCTGCCAGTATAATTGAAATTATGTAAACAAACGAAGTGAGAAATATATGAGAAAACATCAGGTAGAACTTGTAAGTTATTGAAGTACAGAGTGACCATAACTGGCCTTAAAAACAGGTTTGTAATAAAACTTTGAAAGGTACTGACACGAGACCAATCTGCCATTTTCATAACATCGTCAAGTGGAACGTTACTGTTCGCAGCTGCTGTGGTCGAGGCTCCGCGAACCGAATGAGCCTTAAAAAGCTCAGTGTTAATTCCAGCATTCTTTATAGCTGTACGAAGCCATCAACTAAGTGTTGGGGTCGTGATCGGGTTATGAGGTTTAGCATAGGAGACAAACAAGGGATCTGGTTTTGACGATGGGACGACTGGACGCAAGTGACGTGGAGCCTTAAGGTAAACAAGGTGAGTGTCAACAGGGCAGAGTCCCTTGTACGGAAGGGACGCAAAAAATGCTTGAGGTAACTGATCTGTTGAACCTCGCTTCCTCGGAAGTGTGAGTGTGAAGGAAACTCCCTCGGGGGCTACACGGGAGTACCGGAGGTCCAATTTAGCAAGGGACGAAGCTCGCTCAGGACACATGAGGGAAAAAGGTATTGCCAGCTTGATAGAGATGAACTTTAAGGGCAACAGTTTAGTTTTCCCAAGAGAGTCCAAGTACTTAGTTACAAGTTGCACATCCCACGCGTGTGTGTATCTGGGTTGTGGAGGACGCATGTTTTGCATTCCTTTTAAGAGTTGAACAACAAGGGGATGTTGGCCCACGGGGTAGCCGTCAATTTTGGGTGACAAGAGGAGATAGCTGAACGTACTACATTGACTGACCTATACGCAGCCCCGCTTTTAAAGCGATCAGTCAAAAAGAGAAGGACATCATTTAGTGTCGCTGAAACTGGATTAACTTTCTGTTTACCACACCAGTTCCATTGCCCCCAGACTGACTGGTATGTCTTATGTGTGGAGGTACGAGTGGCTGAGAGGAGTATTTCGGTAATGTTCTCTGAAAAACCTGTTTGATGTTGTTCCCTGATACGTGAAAGACGGCCAGATGGAGCCTGGGATACAGTGAATGGATTCTGAGGGGGTATGCAGGGTCCCTCAGCAAGTGTTTGGAGTTCGTGATCATGACTGGTTGTTTGGTGAGGAGGTTCAGGAGAACTGGCCACCAAGGTTGCGCCTGCCAGACTGGAGCTACCATGACCAGATCCGCCTTGTCCTGCGAGACCTTTTTCAGGACTGGCGCTATCAGGCCAAATGGTGGAAAGGCATAGCCTTTCAGAGGGGCCCAGTCTAGGGTCATTGCATCCGTGTAAGAAGCCCTTGGGTCTGGTTTTCAACTGGCGTATGTTGGGAGAAGAGCTGTTAGGCGAGAGGCAAAGAGGTCTACATTGCACCCTGTTATGAAGGGTTGGATTACCTTTGGGTCTATTTGCCATTTGCTGGAGTCGTAAAACTCTCTCAGTCTGCTACACTGTTGAGCTTGCCTGGTAAGTGTTGAGTAGTGATCAGGATTGACTTCTAAAGACACCACTGCCATAGTTTCAGAGTTAAGCTGACAAGTTGTGGGGAACGTGTTCCCCCTTTGTCGTTTACGTGGGCTACAGCTGTAGTGTTGTCCATGCAGAGACATGCCACAATGTTGGTCCTGTCCTTGAGGAAGGTTTTGACGGCAAGATAGGCCGCTTTCTGTTCAAGGACGTTTATGTGTTGTTTGGCTTCCACAGGCAAGCAACGGCCGTTTGTGGTTAAGTTCCCGCACGCAAGCACCCCAGCCCGTTCTGGAGGCGTCTGATGTTATGTAGAGGTCTGGGGGAGGAAGATTGATCGCACTGCCGTTTACGGTTACAGCATTCTGGAGCCACCACTCTAGTTCTGCTTGAGCGTTGCTGTTCAAGGACACGAGTGTCTCGTAATTGTCTTGAGACTCCTGCAGGGACTTTGTGAGCTGTATTTGTAGATATCTGTAATGGAGGGGGGCTTGCCAAATGGCAGGGCGAGCAGCCTCCAATGTCTCTATCAGGCTTGCTACTTCGCAAGTAGAAGGGGTAGGGTTGAGGAGAAGGTGTTGACATTTGTTATGTATATTCAGGATCTTTCCCTCTGGAAGGCTGAGTGACATTGTCTGCGAGTCTATAGAAAGGTTCAGAAATGTTGATGACTGGGTGGGCTCCAGGATAGACTTCTCCCAATTTATGGTGAAGCCCAGCTGCTGCAGAAGGGTCAGTGTTTGCCTGGTGTTTGCTGTTGACTCTTCTAAGGAGGAGCCTAGGATTAGGAAGTTTAATCATCTAGGTAGACGATTATTCGAATACCTCTCTTCCGTAGATAAGCAGCTATGGGTTTTATTAGCTTTGTAAACACTCTGGGGGCTGTATTTAGCCCAACTAGCAGACCTTGAAAGGCAAATGTTTTGTTTCTCCACTGGAAGCAAAGGTACCTTTGTGAGGATTTGTGTACGTGGACGGAGAGATATGCATCCTTTAAGTCTATGCATGTCATAAAGTCTCCCTTTTTTAAGAGAGTTTTGAGACAGGAGATATTTTCCATTTGAAAATGGAAGTTCTCCACAAAATTGTTGAGACGACTCAGGTCGATTACAGGGCGAAATGTTCCCTCCTTTTGGAACCAGAAAGATTCTGCTGTTGAAATTCTCTTTGGAGAATGGGATATCTTTTGCTGCCCCCATTGAGAGGAGTATGTTCACCTCTGCATCTAAACAAGGGGAGCTGTCGAATCTGAACATGTAACTGGAACGTGTAACTGAACAGGAACAGAGTGAAAGGAAATTTGATATCCCAACACAACGTTTAAGATTTCTGGATCTGAGGTGATTTCCTTCCACTGATCTAGGAAGTTGTTGAGTCTTGGTTTGAGGAACCCTTGTTGGGGCGAAAGGACCGATAGTTTTTTGGTCGGTTTGCTTGGTACTTAGAGAAAGTGCCCGGGGTCCCACGGCGTTGCCTGTCCTTTGTGTTCCCAGATTTTTGGAAGGTTTGTTTGGGCTTTTGGGCATGCGATAAGTTCTTGGTTAGGCCACTAGAGAGTTCTGCTTGTTTTGAAGCAACCGCAGGGAAATCCTCTCCAAACAGGAAACGTTTGGCATTAGGGAGTGGCTGATCAGCCGGACTTATTTTATCTTCATTGATATTTGCAAGAACTTTCTTTCTTCGTAATACTGACATTTGATGGTTTGCTGAACCAAGGAGGCACAATGTTTGCTCAACTATACTTTTAATGTCCTCTATGGGACCTGGGTTCCAGAGGTAAGAGCATCATGAAGAGAGCAGAGAGGCCCTGTTGTGTTAAGGTAGGCCCTTTGGACCGTAGCCATCTCCTTATCGTGATCCTGTATGTACTTCTTTGTTTGCGGAGGGTTTATTTGATTTGCGACAGAAGGGTCCAGGGAAGGCGTAAATAAACAGTCGACAGCTGAAATATTACAGTTGTCGAGAATTTCACGTACCTGGTCATAGGTGAGTTTCCTACGAAACTGTTTCTCTAAGAAGGAGGAGAAATCAAAAGAGTGTTCTACTGCAGAACCACAAGCTATTTTAAGGCTGCCCTGGGCTTTATGTTTCGCTAAAACTGTGTTGTCCTTTTATCTAAAAATGCCTCTTGAAGCTGTGTCTCTCAGAGCAGACGCTGTTTCGACACTGACAACATTGAACGTTCGTTTGCTTTGTTTCCTCATTAGTACTAATATTTCCAGACTCGTCGAGTCTTTGAAGTGTAAAAACGTCTTGGCTCGAGTGGACAGTTTGTTTCCAAAAGAACCGTTTGAAATGTTACCGAATCTATAGCCTCTAACACCTTGTACGAAGCACTCTCCAAAATCTGTGCTGTAGCCTGTTGATTCCTTCGAAATCCAGACTTGTGAGCGTCTAAATCGAACTCCAAGGAGAATCTTAGTCTAGGGCGGAAGCCTTGCAAAACTAATTGGTATTCCATTTCAGGATTAGCTGTATTGTTCAATGATTTTATTCCTATGCATTGATATTTCAGCAAGTTCTGATTGAACTAATTAGTATGCCAAGTTACAAAGATCTGTAACCATTACATTTTTAGTGATAGCTACCTCTTTAAGCACTATTAATTTGTCTGCTACCCCATTCATGTCTAAGCACTCAACGTTCGATTTATTTTATGATGTATCCACGGAAAACCTCGAAGTATTATTACATGAAAGAGTACCTCTAAAAGTATTATTGGCATGAATTGGGTAGAGGCAGTATAGGTTTGCAACTCCCTTGTTTGTTTTAGACCAACATATGTGTACAAGGGTGTCCCTTCAGTTTACCCGATCGTCTTCCTTACTTCTGGCTTCCGCATTATCAGTCTGAAATTAGATGGCCTTATTTCTCATGTTGCACTTTCAAACTCTATTGATGTTTGTAGAAATTGAGAAGCCAGTACTGATGCTAGAGGAACAGTACCGGATGCATCCAGAGATTGCGGCTTTCCCTTCCTCTCGTGTGTACAATAACTTTCTTAGAAGCCATAGGTTAGATATTGTTCCTCAATTTTACAGAGAAATGGTTGGGAGTTTCTCAGTATCGTTTCATTTTAGAGCAACCACCTTTGTGTCTTTGCTTTTATTTGACCCTCCGTTGTCCCATGCAGCTAATTGACCTAATAACTCACTCATGGACGGACGGACAGAGTGACCGGCTGACGGTGTCAGGTCCCCGTCTTGGTAAACTGTTTATGCGTCACCCCCCAACAAATATGACGGGCAGACTGGCCAACAGACGGACTAATGCCGAGTGTCTCACTGTTTGAATAACTTACGAAAGGATGGATGGTTGAAGTAGAAATGATTAGGTTAATTCGCCGTTTGCTCAAATTTTGGATCAACTGCTTTTTCATATCTGTCTTATGCGTATATTGTACTTTAGATCATTGGAGCAGAGACAGTTTCCTCTGGTAAAGCACTATGCACTCTTTGACGTTGTTACTGGAAGGGAGCTATGCCAGGATAGAGGGTAAGCAAATGAAACCATTTTGGCAAAAAACCATGGTTAAACAATGTTGGTGTTCTCTTATGAAGCCTTGGCAACTAGCAAACGTTAATTTTACATTAATCGTTTCAACCATTGAAATGTTGTAACTCAAGCGACAAAACCTTCTTGGTTTGAATTCTCTTGAGTTTCGAGAAACCAAAGTGCTAAACAGCATTCTAAACAATCTTCAATTTGGCTGAACCTATTATCTGAGCAGTTATTCTCCGAACAGTGCCAAAAGAGCCGAAAGCTAAGAGTGGAAGGACATTTATTTAATTAAATCAGTCCTCATATAGAGGATACCTTAGGCCTGCTGCTTGCGTAAAACCGCGGTTTGGATTAGACCCCATTCAAATAACCGGCCCTTAGTCAATAGTCTTGTAGCGTAGGTGCCGCAAAGGTAGTAACAGAGAAGACCAGTTTTCTTCTCAGTGGCAAAGGAGGTCACGTTGCTAACCGAGCCGCAGCTCACCTCCAGGTGCTGCTAACACAATACCGTCTAACTAAGTGTGCGAGCGAGGAAAGGATAGTAAATTGAGCGACAGCACATGCCTTTTTCCTACAAGCCTCCTTGGAATGCCCAACTTCATATTGGTGAAAACGTTGTATTGTCTGGGTTTTAGCCTTGCCTAAATTACTTTTAGCTTTGTTTAACTATCAATCTTGAACAGTTTTCTATAGTGTACAGTTTACATTAGTAATATCAACTCGTTGTGTTGTATATCTATGTATAATGAAGTGGTTCAGAAACCGATCAGGCGCTAGGTACGAAGTTATTGTACAGTAATAAAAGTATTCTAGTTCAGTAATTGTTCTAAGTCGTCTCTCTCTCCAGCGCTTTGTGGAACCCTGACGAAGCTGATATGATTGTAAATTTTTGCCGCGATTTGACAGACATTTTAAAACCTGAAAGCATTGGCATTATCACACCATATCGGAAACAGAAAGTTGAGATCCAGGGGAGACTAAAGTAAGTATAGTATATGTTGTAAATTTTCGTTGATGAACATCGGTTAGATGGTTTGACCCCTTACTTTAGCTGAAGCAAAGCATGATTTTACTTCAACGGAATTGACGTTTTTTTTATGACAGGTGGAAAGTAAAGAATAGTCCGGAAGCATCGTTGCTTCAAGTGTCGCTTGTATTGACTTCATATGTAGCAACTTTTCGCAATTGTAAATGCTCGTAAACCTTTTGATCTGCTCTCCAGTACCATTTGGCTAGAGCGTCTCCAACCCTCTAGCCTTAAAAAAAAATGAAAAAAAAAGCAGCTTACTCTGAATTTAGTCTTTTCTCAAAGACTGCATTCGTTAGTTGGGTATCCAGAACACAGCTAATCCACAGACTTTTGCTAAGAGCGTGCGCTTAAAACTAAAGATTCGACCAAGAAAAATTTTCTAATGCTAAACCATTTTGTCGAAACCCTGTTGTACATGTTTTTCAGGGGTCTATCCACAGGAACTGCTGTAATCGAGGTCAACACTGTGGATGGCTTTCAGGTTTGTTTAAACTATCCGATCTTTGTAATTTCTCTTGCCTTCCACTTTATGTAGCTCCTGTAGAATGTGAAGTACACTGTTGCCTTTTTTTCGTTGTAAGGGAAGAGAGAAGGATGTCATCATTTTGAGTTGTGTTCGAGCACAGCAGTGTCGTGGGTCTATAGGGTAAGTTTATTTACATTAATCATTATCCAAACACCTTTCCTCGCCAGCCAATGCAACACCCTGTGTCAGCGTATAGGTTTTGAGCTAGTTAAACTTGTGACTCTTAATATAATTTTTGGTTGATGTCAGTTCCTTTAACTGACTTTGTCATGTCTACTTAAAAACGTCAAAAACATTTTCTGTATGTTGGAAGGCTACTAGATGTGATCCTGCTGGACTTTTTATTTTCTCTTTCACAGATTTCTAACCGATAAACAACGAATGAATGTAGCGTTAACGAGGGCGCGACATGCCCTGTATGTTTTTGGCCATATGGAAACTCTGAAGGTGGGATGATATGAGTAGTGTTTGTTTAATCCTTAAAGACTGCGTTCTGTGATTCCAAGAACAACTTAAATGATAACTGCTCCGTCCTACCTTTATATTTTAGCAGGGAGGATCTTCAGATTGGAGAGCTTTGATAGAAAATGCAGAAAACAGAGGATGTTTCTTTCCTGTTAAATCTTCATTAGAGGTACGGTCGATTCTTTCCATTGGATCAGTTAAGACAGACCATTCGCCTGCCAAAGATCCACGGGTTAAAAACCTTAACTCGTCTTCGACAAGGGTTGGTTATCACCGTTCCAACAGTGGTGACCTTGCAGTGGACCCTAACCATGCACCAGGAAACGTTTGTAGTACACGACAAGAGTCTGAACATAATGGTGGGACAGAGGCACCAGGTCTTAGAAAGGGGACGGATCAGATGGAAAAATCAGTTAAAGCTTCAGTAACCAAGCTCCGAGAGGTAACAAGCATCAACGCGACCTCCGCCAGCAGTGAGGCATCCTTGAACAGTCATCCTACAAGGATAATTGAAGTTGTCAACCCTGAGAGTATAAGTAGGGAAGAGAAGAGTGGTGAGGAAGGAACTCACTCCAGAAATCGTGATCAACAATTTTCTAGGAAGGACTGTAAACAACTCTCCAGACCTGAAGATCATAGAGAAAAGCACTCTGTCGGGAAGGAGTCAAAGCATTCTACACGTCACTCATTGCATCGAAAAGGGAGCGCACACCAGGAAAGATCAGGTGGGCAAAGCCAAAAGACATCAGATGAAAAAGTCACATATCAATTACATTCTACCATAAATCCTTTGGTTAAAAATGGAGTTTCAAACAGGGACGAAGCGACATCTAACGGCCCATCTTGTAAGAGGACACAGATTGTTTCTCCAAACATTGCCATCGAGAAGCAATCGCCCAGTCATCCCCCTGAAGACAGTGTACATGGAAAGCAAATGAAGCGTATCGAAAGTGATGATATGCTAGACGCTACAGCTATTAATTTTTCTGGAAAGGCCCCTACTCCTACGTCCAGGGATCCAATTTCTGATTTGGAGGATAATGATTCAGATTCCTCACTTGAAATTGATACGCAAAATCCTATGCTGCATAATGTTATCCGAAACAATATGACACATAAAAAGGGTTATTTTTGGCAGCTGTATCGACAAGAAAAAGAAGCAACTGCAAGGTCCTCACCAGCCCAACGCGCCTGGTCACCAGGTAATACTGGGTCACCCGTCGACCAGGCTCTAACCGCCTTAACAACGGTCTCACAGCCCACGTCGTCTAACCACTCTTTTGTATCATCTGGGCCTTCCAATACAACTCCCCTGGCCCCAACTGCTCCAATTCTGCCAGATAACGCCAGTAGCTCATCATCTCGCTCTAATGCGTCAAGGTCGTCAAAAGTTATTCCGGTCAGGCGGAACTCTGAACCTCCGTCCTTGAAAAGTGTATTGGAAGGTAACGGTCATCCGCAAAGACCTCAGGGATCTACAGCTAATGCTTCAAACGCATTATCTTTCTCTAGTGCGTCAAGGCTTTCAAATGACTCTTCTACTCTTTCCTTGCGGCCCGGAACCGCCCGACCATCAAACCTTTCAAATTCATTAGGACTAAGCCGGACTCTCTCTCTCGATGAAAAACGTAAAACAGTGCGGAGTGCTGAAGAAGCAGCAGAAGTAGTGCGGCAACGGCATCCTCCTGTACTGGGTCCTCCAATTATCGAAGCTACATTAAGGGACCCTCACGGGGGATCTCGTAAACGGTCAGCGCATACAACGACTCTGAATGTCAGCGCTCTGAGAGGAAGAGCAACCAGGGAAGTCAGCCCACCACCAAAGAGGTCGGCACCTGAACCCTTACGGAGAAAAAGCTTAAATAAAACTAAAATGAACTTTAGGGGCAGAAAAAGTTGGAAATGACAGAGTGAATCCCTGCAGTTTCTTGTTCAATATCTTATTTCGATAGGACGCTTCATTGAGACGTCATTTGAGTTTTTAAGTAATTTCCAACTAAGTTTGTTTATTTTTTTAAGACGTGATTATTATTGGTGGAAAGAGAGATACAAGGTTAAGGTTATCTCCATTGTTTTGTAAATGGTGAGAGCAAGCTCTGAGACAAACTGTTTCAAGTGGTCTTACTCCAACTTTTTTCAGTGTAGAGTTATTCTAGAGGGACAAATTTCAATATATTTTTTCTAATTAGAGATTAAATAAGTAACCAAATCATTGTATTTGTTACGATATACTGATTCAAATTTTTTCATTAAAATTTATGACAAATTAATGTTCATTTACAGCACATCGAAAAAGCTGTGATGAACTCGTCAAAAGTATTTGTGAAAAATACTTACAAACCTTCAAGTTTCGACTGACTGTCCATAATCTGGAAGGTTATCGAATTTTGACCTAATTGTAATGACGAGAGATGGTATTTTATCGTGTAAACGTCAGTAGTGGAGTCGTTGTATAGCAAAGGCGCCACAGAAAAGTCTTCTTTGCTTCCTAATCTATGCTTGAATGATACTCTCACTCTACATCATTATTTTTATGTTTTAATCGTATGTCGCCCTTTTGTTGAAAGTTCAAGATTAGATATACAAAAAAGGGCATTTTCAAGAAATGGTGTTAGAATCTGGAATAGCTTGTCTTGTGAAGTGCGCCAGCTATCAAAATACAACTTTAATAGTAAAATTCATGATTTCCTCCTCGACTCGAAAAATATGACGATTGTATTGATTTGTCTACTTTAATAGCACAACTATAAGACCCCAGCTTGTTCTGTTTTCTTGCCGTTTCTTAAATGTATTAATGTAGTTGTAATTTGTCTAGAATTTTCATTCTCTTGGTCTGTAAATCTTTTTATTTTATATTTTATAATATACGTATTAAACACTGCCCGCCTCGACTAGCCTTTGCTTACTGCAGGCAGTGCATATTGATTTTTTGTAATATTGTAATATACCATTGTAATATAACATTAAACTCATTATCATTAAACTCATTTTCAATTTGAATTGTTTGTCTAAGTTGTTTGGTGGAAAACCTGTAAACTAGCTTCTAGCTAAGTGTTTCTCCACGTTAAACTGTTTATTATTATTATTACTATTATTATTATTATTATTATTATTATTATTAAATTTAGGCCTCACGGAACAGCGTACGCACGTGAGTTAAGGAAAATCTCAGACATGCGCAGATGACGCCCCTTCTTGTGTTTACTTCTCTCCTCTACGCTTTTAAAACTTTACCGTTGAATATCTTATTCAAACACAAAGTCTCTGTTAGTTTAATTCTTAAACCGCGAAGACTGCAACGGAGTTAAAGTGCACCTGACCCCTAAATTTTTTTTTTTCACTTAAAAAAAATCTTACTGCTTGGGTGAGTATTTCTTCGAAGAAATTGTTGGATTTGGTTAAACCCTCATTTTTTTATGCCCTGTTGAAGTCGAGATCCAAATGGACCACGACCGCGTAAATGGGGATCTGGGCAGAGTAGACTTGTGACGTTACGTCGAGAAGACGCTCAAGGAATTTTCAGCCAGTCGTCGACCTGCGAAATACTTTCTAGCACTAGATTCATTCTGCGGCATCAGTTACGACCAATATCGATCTAACCTTCCAAACATAACCAGTGAACTTTTTACTCACTCTGAACAGGTTCATTCCTACTCTACTCGTTTCTCAGTAGCTGGAAGCTTTTATATAAAACAGGCGAGAACAAATCATCAGTTGTTTTCCTTTTCTAGAGTTGGTGCGAAAATATGGAATGGCATCCCCCCTGAAATTCGTAAGCTAAAGAAAGCACCTTTTAAACGTGAGCTAACTCACTTGCATTTGAAAATTCTTGAAATTGAGGGGATGAATATTGACTTGCGCTACCTTGACCTTTCTAGCTTATATTTGTATTTCAACTGATTAGCTTTCTCTTTGACCTGTTAAAAACTCCCTTGTGTGACTGGCTCAGTTAAAACCTTTAACATGATTATCACT